CACATGCTCATCATCATATCAAAACAAACAAACTCATCAGCATTCTTTATACTAATATGTGTGAATATTTCACACGATTCTTCTACACTGCCTTGTTTTGTTTTTTTTCTAAAACTTTAATGTAATTGAATTGGTATTTTAAGTATTCTAATTTTTAAAAAAAAATATTATTACTATTATTTATGAATTCAGTAGGGTAGCTGCTATTTAGTATGTGGTATTTTAATGTTAGAAAAATACCTACCACTAATTCAGCAGCTCTCATATGTAGATTTCGGTATTTGTGCAAAAAATAGAAATCATTACCTCCTGACATGAAAAAATAAGGGTAATAACAGTGTTTGAGTCCGTTTGCATGACAAGTTGGAGTGCATCTCTTGCCAAAATCCATTTTGTATAACTTGAATCATCAGCAGACTTCACAAATCATTGACGAGATATTTTTATTTGCTCTTGATTGAACTGTTGATCATTCGTTTTACTGTGATTGACACTGATCGCCTCAAATGAATATAATAACAGTACCATTGTGGTGCGAGCTACTTATAAGTAGTATATGACGTGAGTGTCAACGTAATGTCTGGCAGCCGAAGATGGGGGAAGATCAAGAAAACAATGGAATTTGTATGAAACGCATGAATAGTGAGTGACAATGGATTGATGTTTTGCAACAGGAACAGTCCAGTTCGATATGATGAACTGATATTCTGCAAAATGAACGATTTACGATATGGTTTTCCGATTTTACTGAGTAACTGTGTAATTTTCGTCAGATACATTTCGGTTGCCCTACCTGTGTTCTCATTCACTACACCCTACCATGGTGTGTATACCATATTCTATACTGCTCTATATAGAGTTGAAGATTTCCTATGGCAACAGAGTTCGTTGTGATCAACATTGTAGGTTAGGTTTGGCATTAATTTGGAAACTTTTGCTAATAGTACATGAATGAAATTGGTTAACAGGGTGACCAATTTCATTGACACTAATGGTGGTTGTCTTATAACATTCCTGAAGTCCATTGTCATCAGGGTGCTGTGTTGCATATTACCATTGCTAATAATAATGAGTTTGTGACAGTCATGTAAGCGGGATGGGCCGAAATAGGCTGATCATGCTGTGTAAATTAATTGACACGATCACTATATATATACTAGTGTATATAAATTTTGTGAATGGTCCACCAGGGTGTCAGGTGCCTGTATGTAGTGGTTGGGCCACGAGATTGAGCCGAACTGTCCACGTTGTAGTGTTAACCCAAGGGCAGTCATCTTGGTTCTTCTGAAAACCAATGTAAAATTACTCCTGCGACGCATTCAAAATCATACGCCGTCAATCTCTTGTTTCGGTTATCAGTTTGCCTTAAACTCTCACTTTTATTATATCTGATTGTTGTCGATTGGTTTCATCAATAAATGTATATACATTGAATATATATACTTGCTAAGTCGTCGGTTCATCTTTTCTCTTCCAGTACAGAATATACTTTTAGATTGGACACAAACTAACCAAAGGTTGGAATTTACAGTTTGTACATGTATTTCAGAATGAGAGAAACAAAGCAGTAGAGTACATTGATTCATATAAATACCAAGAAAAGTTTTCAATAGAGTGCTGTTAAACAGAATGAAAGATTCAACTGACGTTTAAATTTAAGATCATCAGGATGGATTCCGTAAGGGTTGACTATGTCCCGACAAAATGGCCACAGTAAGGGTCATTGTGGACCAATTAACTCAGTTGAATTCATCATTGTACATCAACTCCCCTGAGTGCTAGAAAGCACTTGACAGTATGAACAGGAAGAAATCGTGGTGCGCCTGAGAAGATGTCAACATCATAATAAATTCTTGACATGAGTTAAACTACAAAATCGTGCATGTGGAACAGCTTGCACATTCGTTCTAAGTGAAGATTGGGGTCATACAAGGTTACTTACTCTCGCCCTTCATCTTTTTCCTAGTGGCCGACGGAATTATGAAGAAATCAACATCTGTAGAGAAGCACGGGATACAGTGGATAGCTAGGATGCAGCCGAACTATCTGCACTTCGCAGATAATATAGCTCTTCTATCCCACACACAGTGACAAATGCAAGAGAGGAAGACCAGTGTAGCTGAAACCTCAGCAGCAGCGGTAGGTCTCAACATACACCGGATACAACACAACATTCAACAACCTAATCACATTTGACGGAGATGCTTTGGAGGATGTAGAAACCTTTGCATAGTTTTACAGCACTATTAATAAACAAAGTGAATCTGTTGTGGATGTGAAAACACCAATTAACATATGAAGGGGAGCGTTCGGAAAAAACTGAAGAACATATGAAACTTGAAACAACTGTCAACAATCACTAAAATCAGAATTTTCAATGCAAATGTCAAGACAGTCCTATTGTATGGAGCGGAAACTTGAAGAACCACGTAAGTCATCATCAAAACCATATAAGTTTTAATTATAGTTGAAATAAGATGTGGTGTCATGAACTGCTTACTGCTAACTACCAGTCCCTTATTGTTTTTGTTAGGATATTCTTCCCATATCCTAAGAGAATTATTGGTCATATCCTATTAGTCGATTTCTATCCGTCAAAATTATGATCGTACGGCACCATG